TCGACCATGCCAACCATTTTATGAAGACTAAAAAAAATAAGTTTAACCTGTCTGTTTGAAAAATTTACTTGAAATAATACATTGTAAAATAAATTATAGTTATTATGCATTCTTTACGTTCTTTTGAAAATAATTAATGTTTCAATTTGTATACAATATTTTGTATGCAAATTTCTTATTATGGCGGTTTGCAAAAAAGGTGACCTCTGCTAGTAGATTTTCTCGATTCTATAGACGTTATTGTTCGAAAATTACGATCAATAGGGAATTGAAAATTCTGGCGAAACGTCGAAACCTTGACGACGAAAAAGTGTGGCTCTGTGTTCTCCAAGCCATGCGGGCCGCTTCATTTCTTTGTATGCACTATATTTCTAGTACATATCTCATTGCATTCTTATTTGTGAATAAATCAAAGACCATTAATTAATCAAAGACTTAACCATAATTTTCGTGACCTGTTTTGCTTCGTCGAATATCATATAATAAAAGCGCTTATCGTTGTGGCCAGATTATCCAATGATTCACTATCGCTATTCTCTCGTCTCTGGCGGTCAGTGATTATTTCGTTAGGCCGATAAAAACCTACAAAAAAAAATAAATATCTAGTGAATAAATGTATATATTTACAGCAAGTCATCAATTTTTTGTCTCTAAGAAATAATAATAATAAAATTGATTTTTTTTTTTCATAATCATAATCAAATAATAATAAAGGATATGACAAACTCTCGATAAGCTTAAAACTATATGGTCTTTGGCAAGTCAATTTTATGTAATTTATGAATTATAACTGTTCAAGCAAACGTGGGTTTTCTTCCGAATTATTTCAGTATTTAATAGGCTGAATTACTATTTGACCTCTGTATGATTTAGTGTCCTGACGTTTAATGTTCTAGTTTAATAAATTAGTTGATGAAACTTTCAGCAGCAAAGTCTATTGAAGTTAAATTCTTTTAAAGAAAAAAAGCCTATTGCTGTATCTCGGTGTTAAGCCTAATGGTCGTTTAAACCAGGAACCAGCCATTTTAGAAATTTTGAAAATTAAAGCTTGAAGCTTACTTCGTCTCTTAGTTCAATCATTAAGCGTATATAGTCCCGTTGAACACGAACCTTTTTCTTGTGTAATTATATTAAGGATTATTTAATGAACAAACTTAAAATTTTTCTTTACAAAGTAATATTGAATAATTGCTTATTTAATTTATTTAATAAATTACAATTTGGTCATCCTATATAGCACATTTTAAATTTAAAAAATCGTTATTTAGTCATATTTTTTATAATTATTTTGATGTTCGAAATAGAAATTTAGCTTTAACCAAGAATTAAATGAATAAGAGCATTTAAGAATATAACGGATAATCTTAGCTTTCAATTTTTATTATCGTTATTTAAAGACATCATCATATTTCGAATCTGTTAATTCTGTTAAAATGTGAATAATACAACTCGCATAATGATACGTATTATGAACTTACTTGTAAATAATTAACATTTTACTAAAAAAATTTATCAAACTAAGTACAATTTGTTTACCCTACAGACATTTCGCCGATATAAGGCATGTAAATTTCTATAACTACTACTTTAAAAAAAAAAACCATGTAAGCCAGCACAGCACGTTCACAAATTTTTAATCATAAATGCTTTTTTAAGATTGAAGAATGCTAATTTGTATGTGTATTTATATAATAATTTTTTTCTATATCTTAAAAAGTCTAAAATTTCATACATATCAGTTTTACTCATCACTTTCTTGATTATCTTCACTGTTCCCTATCTGCGTATTAATAGTTTGAGATGATCTCACGGTTGTACTATCCATCTCCAAAGCTGTTTCCATGTCTCTACTTCTTTGAAAAGTATCAAACGTAAAACCTGATGTTGTCGTCAATAATTCAGGTTCAATTCCGATATTTATACCTGCTTGCGGATAAATTCCTCCAAAATCAAATTCTGAAAATGCTGCTATATTTTCTTCTAAATCAAATTCCGAAAATGTTGTATCATTTTCTTCTTCAAGTGATAATTCATCAGTATTTCCAATAACTCCTATATTACTTAATCGTTTCGATGAACTACTATTCCTTCCACCATCTCCATATATTCCGTCATATACATCCCCCATTGCTCCACTTCCACCTGCTTCATTACTACTCATGTCTTCAAATAAACTATCTTCAATATTAATTATTGACTCCTCAACAAGTTTACCTTTTAATGAACGTTGTACAACCTCCGGTCCTCTATATTCTTCAGGATTTCTTAATGAGAATACTGGTTCACCCACTGAATTAGTAGCCAACATTACACTTTCAGATATTTCTGTTTCATGTGATGAACCACGTTTTCCCGCCGATGAAAATAAACTGTGAACGTTTGATCGTTGACTATAAAAATTATTTTCTTCCGTTAAATTATTGTAAAAAGTTGGACTACCACGACTACCTGTTCCACCACCACCACCATTATCATTTGTATGTTCTTCCGTTTTATAGTAATCTAAAATTGATGTTATCGTCTTATGCTTTTGATGATGAGATGTAGATGTTTTGCGAGAAAAGCTTAAATGTGAAGGAAATGGTGACCCACTTATTTCATCATCATTATCGACAACAATTTCTTCACCATTAGTTTGTATACCACGTTTAACATGATGTAAATTTGTGGGTTCTGACAAAATATCATCTTTTGATTTTTTTTTTAATTTTTTAGGGTTGTCATTATAATAT